TCTTTCCGTATGAGGGGCGAGGGGGTGGAACACATGGAAAACAGGTGTGACGTCAGGTGAGCATTGGCGTTCTAACCAGTGGCGGCTCGTGACTATTTCAAGTGAGGAGGCTAAAAATAATGAACTACGGTAACCACTGGCAGCAGGCATTTTTTTTTGAGTGTCTACCTACGTCCTCAAGAATTTATCTGAAATTCAATAAAAACCATAAATGCTCAAGAAAAGAAACATATCATGAGTATAGGTATACAAAATATTACAAAAAATATCAATCAACAATCTACGACTTCCGAATAGAAAAGTGACATGGAACTCCGAATGCATAAAACAGAGATAAAAAAGCAACGATGGCAGTTTCCAACCTTGCAATCAACGGTTGCGGCTAGCCGCTCCGCGACTCGATGGTGCCTGAACGCCAGGAATGGTTCGACATGTTTCCGGCATTTCTATTGGTCGCTGAGATTCGCGGTCACTTTGAATGCTAGATTTCAGGAAAGCATATGAGAGTCAAGCCTCCGGTCGATTTCTAATGGTAAAATTACGGGCAAGGAACAGATTTTTGTCGTGGAGGCGCGGAATTGTTTGAAATAATGTTGTCAGATTGTTCCAAATTATATTAAAATATCGAAATTTGGAAAGTGTAATTTGTGAATTAGAATATTGATTAGGAATTAGGGATAAAATATTGAGATTTAATTTTCAATTTTTTTGGGGAGGCTTGGCCTCCCCTGCCTTCTCTGACGAGCCGCCACTGGTTCTAACGTAGGGAGCCACCAGCTCAGATTCCTGTGGACTGTGGATTATCGAGTATCAGATTCAAATTAACGGACTATACCTACCTTCTTCTTCAGTCAGACAATCGTGAAGCTTTGTTATTATAAAATTTTCTGTGTATTTTTTGGAGTTTCAAGGCGATTAAGCGATTGTCTTCAATGGTTGAGAAGGAAAATTTTTGTATTTTAAGATGGAGAGTCCTTATCTGAAAAAGTAATATGCAAAACCGGGATATTTGCAGAAGTTTGATAATTGTATAATCCCAGCTAAAAACCAACCTATTGCATACCATTTTTGAAAGTTGGTTAGCAGGTATGTGGTTAGCATAAACTCTCTTCTGGTAAACTACTTGATTTTTTCAGTTTTATTAAAGCTTTCAAATTTTTTATGTAGAAAAGGCGTGTGTTGCCAACATAGTTACTAAATTTTTGTCTTGGGGAATTATCTTTAAAAAAAAACAGGCTTTAATAAATATTTGTACTAATATTTTGTCTTTTACTACGATTATTCGAAAGTTGTGATCCACAAAAATGGCAATGGGTTGGATAAAAATAATAGTCGTGCATTGCGTCTCCATTCATAAACGTATTTCTGGTTAAAAATTTGCATCTAAAAACAGAACAACATTAGAGCAAATCGAGCAACTATGAATACGGGCCGATAGAGGCGTGTTCAGATTGAACTTTGCACCCCATAAGGTGCCATAAGCAAGATATTTACCCCGCATGCTCGTTTGTCTGCTTCACTTTAATAAATATAATTTTCGTCGTAACAAGGTACCTAAGTGATTATTTTTATAAAAGACTGAGAATAAGAGGCACAGGCATCATCATCTACTCTATTTAAAAAAGGTGGCCTCTTTCACTTTTTTTGTTTGGCTTGCTCGAGCTGCTTGATAGCATTCACTAGCACATCCTCGTCTTCGGAAGATTAATCGTCCTCACCATTTAATCATTCTTCATATATGAAGGAGTTCCAAGCAAGAACACTAACAACACAGGACTGCTTATTGAGCTGAAAGTTTCTGCCATGTCCACGCGACAACTCCACACTATTTATGACGTCAGCCACAAACCTCAACTCTTGGCGTGAAATGCATTATCCGAGTTTAAAACACTATAGTTAAAAAAAAACGAATTCCTAAACGTTGTCACCATTTCTACATTTAAAATCGATGAAAAAATTAACTCAGAAGCACAGGCATGCTGATAGTGGTGACGTCATACCCAGTCCAGCTGCCGACTCGTCGAGCCGAGCCTCGCGAAGGTACGCCTTGAGCAATGCCATTTGGTGGAGTGTTCTTGGTTTTCCGTGTATTTTTTTGGAGTTTTAAGGCGTTTCTTATGCTTAGAAGGATAATTTTCGTATCTTAAGATAGAGAGTGCTTTCCTGAAAAAAGTATTAGTTGAAATCCCGGAAGTATGCAAAAGTTATATAATATTGGCTGGATTTGGTAATTGCATCTGCGTGATATCTGTAAAATTTTGCTCATTTTGCTCACAGATGTAATTACTGAACCCAGCCTGCAGCCATCATATAGCTATAATCTATTCACAATCCAAAGTCCGAACTAAAGGTAAGATCTATCACTTTTCAGTTGGTACTTGATAGGGATTTTATTTTTATTACCTGCATAAGTTGGTAAACATTTTTATATGTCTTGGAGTTTATGACAAACTGGAAAATAGCAGAGCAGGACTGAAGCATATTTTTATACTTTGAATAAGGCACTTTTAAGTATTAGACTAAATCTTACCTTTAGTTCTGGCTTTGGATTGGATGGAGTATGTTTCAACTCATTGGTTTCAACAGTATATTACCTATTCAAAATATAAAAATATGCTTCAGTCCTGCTCTGTTATTTTTCAGTTTGTCATCAAATGTGACACATGCATAACCTCCCAAAGACATATCAAAATGTTACCAACTTAAAGCCTAGTACTCATAACTGCGAAATTCGCATTTTTTTGACATTGCTTCGACAATTTGACGTTTGATACACGCATTAAACGTCGAATTGTCAACGCAATGTCAAAAAAATGCGAATTTCGCAGTTATGAGTACTAGGCTTTATGCAGGTAATAGATAAAATAAAATCCGTATCAACTAGCAAGTGAAAGGTGAAAAATCTACCTTAATCTTTGGACTACGGATTGTAAATAGATTATATATTCCCAGTTAAAATCAAGGGTTGTTAGATTGCGTACCCTTATGCGCACACCTATAATTTTATATTTTTCAGAGTACATATAAGGTGAATTCGGCTTGGCAACTCTTTTGACTCCTTTGACCCTTTTCACTGCAAAATCGTTCGGGTCACGCCACTGGGAGCAAATAGTGCAAGCTCCTCATCGTTCGGGTACAGCCAAGTAGAGTGAAAAGAGTTAACTCCACAAGCACCGCCTCGAGAGATGAAGCTCGAGGAGCGGGCATGCGCACTTCCTATATTTCCAAAAGGCGGTAAAATTTAAGCTTTCAATAATTCACTATCCTAACGATCGTTGCCTCCTGAGGCTCCGGTAGAAAAAATGGCTTCGTTCCCCAAAATATCCGCAAAAACACATGTTCCGGTTTGTGATGGGAATAATCTTATTCTAGTAATGAAATAATGCTAATACAAGGAAAAAGTAGTGAATATTTTTGTTTTTATATCACTTTAAATTAGATTCTTTTATCTGGGAAAAATTGTTTATTGTTTAATAATAAAATGGAATGTTCTTGTACAACTTTGTGCAAACGCCAACGGCATTCACGGCCGGCGGCTAACCTGCTTCCTGCGATGCGTTCGGCTTAATCATTTTAATCTTTTCGCTGTGTGATCACGTGACTACGAAACTGCTCTTTATCCGCTCCAACTCCGTTTTGCCAAGCCGAACTCACCTATTATTAGATTTTTGAAAGTTGTTGGTGGGCAGGAAGGATAATACAAACTACTAAAGGATTGTCATCTGCCTCGTTTTCGGTAATCGCGGTACAAGGTTCCTAAAGGTCAAGGAGAATACACACGCTAAGGAGTGCTCATCGGCCTCGTTTTTGGTAATTGCCGCCATATTGGTGTGCAACCATTGCCGACGTCATCAGCTATTTAAACAGCCTACGTCAAGGCGAGAAATAACTTGCTGCTTACGTCACAACTGGTTGATTGGCGTAGGGGGAAGGGTGGGATTTGTTACACACAGACCTTATGGGGATTGACCATCCTTTAGTAGTAATGTTTATCATTCTTGCCTGCTTAAAGGTAACCTCTCAAACAACCTTGATCGCGGTCATATCATGTAGCACCAGTGGCGACGTCATCAATTAAGTCGTCAGCCGTTTGCGCCAGCGGTCGTAGCTTAGAATCTAAATTTATGATGAAACCTAAAACTCTTAAACATTTTTTTTTACATCTCATTTGCATCTTCCTTTTTGCCTATTATGGTAATCAAAATTAAAACCATAATAGGCAAAGAGGAAGATGCAAACGAGATCTAAAAAAAAAGGTAAGAAAACCAAGTATGCAAGGAATACTAACCTGTGGTGCAAACACCCTACGTCAAGGCAAGAAACGACACGCTGTCACGTCATCGCTGGTGCTTTGGGATGGTAGGGGGCTTGAGATTTGCAGTTCATTAGTTCTTTTCACGTGGCTCCGGTTTAAACTCACCGGGTTACAAATCGGTTAGAGCAATGACATACCGTTTTCTAAACCGGTTACAAAGTGACGTGATGGATACCTACCACTCGAATTTGAGCGGTATGTTGCGGTTTGTTAAACCGGAGCCACGTGAAATGGGTTATTGAGATTTGCAGATATTCAGAACTTTCCTACATTTAAAATTGACGAAAAAATTCATTCACAAGCACAGCCTGCATCGCAAGCAATCCATCCTGGTCTGCGAGTGACGTCACCATTGTAAGCAGCTGTTGGTGGTGACGTCATTCGCAGACCTTGTCGTTTCTAGAAATGGCCGAACGTACGCCTTATTAGGATAAGCAATCCTTTTAGCTTACGATTCTTGGTGTAGAATTGCATTTCAACATTTTGTGCATGTTTTTTACTTCTGATCAATCAATTGCAAAAACTGTACAACCTTTCTCTACTTGATTTTGTAGTAAAGGTACTAGTATTCACAAAAGAAACCACTAAATGATTGTGAGATTTCATTTCAACAAACATTTTTCATTCAAAAGATCTCATTTTGTTAAGAAAACTGTCACCGGCTCTTATACTATCAAGTAAAACAACAGTTTTTAACTTCAAATATTCTATTTACAGTAACAGTTATGAATTATACATGTGAATATTATGAATTTCCAAATAAAAAAAAATATATATCTTATCATAAATTATCTTCAGTACATGCTAATAAAAAGAAAACAATTTCACCAATAATAGACATTTCTGTTTAGTTGAATTAAAAATTATTGCAAAATGGTTAAACTAATTTTACCTATTGCTTCAGCAGTAGTTTTTCTTTACCTTAAACATATAAAATCGGAGAAAAAAACACATAAGTTGTTACCATTAGGTACCTACCACATTTTCCTGAAATCCCAAAAGACATAATTCTCTCAACAAGATACAAACATTTCATTTTCCTACGACCACATACGAAAGTGACAAAATCCGTACTAGATGGTTCTTTGGAAAGCGCTAAATATCACATGCGTGCAGAAAGTCTTTCAATACGGGTGCTAAACGTACTTTCAGCACATGTGTGGAAAATACTATTGACATAATTTGTGATTCACATCACAATTAACTTTCAATATGTGGGTTGAAAGTACCTTCAGCATGTGTGTGGAAAATGAAAAGAGATAAGAGAAAATTGGTGTAAATCGGTTGGTAATCTGGTCATAGGAAAAATGGTGACATCACTTGTGAGAAAGCGTCTTTCATACACTCGTGTGTTTGTCGCTTTTTACACTCGTAATATTTTATACTATTTAGTCACTGTTCATTATTATAATGATTACAGATGAAAGGTTTTCATTATCTTCCATGAAGGACTTAATGCTTCGTTTTACCTAAGAGGGTTTCTTTTTTTTTCTATAATATTTCTCATATTATTTTGAACTACGTAGAGTTAAGTTAATAAAGCCAAGAAGTAGCAGAGTTTGCAGGGACAAACTAAACTGCACACTGTTTTATCCTGTAAAATAAAAAATTTATATTTAGTATTTTTTGGGAATTGCTAGTAGCTTCCTTGTTAAAGCAAATACTTGGGGAAGATTTTTTATTAAATGTGTACTAAATTGACCCAAATAGTTGTTTTGTGTTAGCTTTCTTCAATTTATTCAATTGTGAAATCACCCCTTCCACTTAAGTTGCCAGATTGCTATTAATTTATAAGATATAGGTATTTACTCATAAATTAATTTAAGACTTGGAAGTATCTCAAGCTCTAAGCTACTAGAAGAAAATAAAGAAGTACTTTTTTTATGGCCTTGAAGTGGAGAAGTGTGAATTCTTTACAATTTTTTCCTTAGCATGCAAATTTTCATGCTTTTAATCCATGATGTGATAATGAATTTTTATTGTAAATGTGTTTTTATTATCCCTCATGTTCTTTAATCCCATTCCATTATTAATTCCTTTGCTTTAACGTGTTTACATGTTGTTGTTACTTAAAAACAATATAATAATAAGCCATTTAGCCTGTGATAAATGAGCGAGTGGTAATTTCTTATTATTAGTAATAATGCTTTATGGAATTATTATTAGTTTTGCCAATTTCTATACAAATTTTTACCATAGAACTACAATTTTAACAAGACCTTATTACTTAGTGACAAATAAAAAATTTGCATAAAAATTCTTAAAGCTTAACCTAGAAGAGGAAAATGACAAACAAAAATGCATGCCTATCACAAACGGACACTACACAATATGAGTGTTGTTTTTCTGTATCTAAAGTTTGCTATTATGAAGTTCAACCTCTACGGCATTTGCGCGATCAATTTTAGAATCCCTAAAAAACAAAACAATGAATAAGATTAGCACACATGTTTTTAGTAGAACAAACAAGTTAATATACAGGGTGTCCCACAACGTTTTTCTCAGGTAATAACTTCGGAACGCGCCATCCAAGATAATTGAAATTTTGAGGATCTGGTTAACTTTTTGTGCCGCTTCTAACATTGTCATCCATTTTCACCACTTTTATTTCAATTTCGGTCAAGTGATATCAACTTTTGAATCTTAAATGTAAGCCATGGTATAATAAGGCATTTTTCGTTAGAAAATTAAATTACACAATCTGCAATGCCATATTTGTTAAGGCTTTGTTAAAGAAAATAATAAAAAATTATACAGTGGAACATACGTTGATGCGTTCCAAAGTTATCATTTGGGAAAAACCATGTGGGACACCCTGTATAATAGCAAAAAAAAGGACAACAAAGGATACATAAAACAATTTGTTGTATATTTGGGTAGAAGGTACATATTACATTTACAAAAAAAAAATATATTCTATAAAATATATAAAATTGAAATAACAAATGTAAAATATAAAGGAAAATAATGAAAATAGCATGACCAGGGATAAAGTTTATAGGAATCCGATATGTATGGGTATATATCTGAAAAAGTAAATTATTCCAAAAATAGAATTCAACTCTTATTGAATTTTAGTTTGTTGCCAAGGCGTATTTGCTAACTAAATAACATAATATAAACAGTAATGAATACATATTTACACTTACTAATGTAAAATATTCCATAAAGTTAATCTTATCTGTGTGATGAATTATTTATAGTGACATAAAGATAAGCTGGGTCAATTATTGGAATTTCAAGTTACAATATTTTGTAGAAAAGAAATTCTTAATAGAAAAAATTGATCTTTTAAGGATATATTTATGATCCACTGGAAATAGTATATTATCAATATCAAGTAATGATTCGAATCTTACAATACACAAAGATATTGTGAAAAAATTATTGAAGACAAGTTATGTAGCATTTTGAGTTAAGAAAGTCGGTGTAAATATAATGTAACAGTAAAAAACTTATCCACAGACAGTACTTTACATGATGATAACAATAAACTATCCAACAGAGAAACGGTTTATTTATCTTCAGATAAACTTGCTGGTAACTATCTGCAAGATAAATTTACCAATCTGTAATTATATTGGTTGGTGGAAAACTGGCCGACCAATGGGATTACAGATTCCGTTTTTATCCATCAGATTGCATACCTGACAGTGTATCAGAAGGTGAATAAACCACCCCTGGATGAGATGATTTCATAACATATTTTGCTCATACCATAACAATATTTTTTTTTATCATAAAAGAGCAATGCAAATAAGTTAATTATTACCACTCTAAGGGCCAAATTATGGACCAACTGGTAAGTGTCTGGTTGTTACCTAGCAGGTACTTTCTATTCTCTAATGCATAGAAAGTACCTGCTAGGTAACAACCAGACACTTACCAGTTGGTCCATAATTTGGCCCTAACAAAAATATATCCTGTTCACAATCCAATGTCCACAGGTGCTGGTAAATTTATCACCTTTCCCTATCAAATAGCATTGAAAGGTGATAAATTTACCAGTACCTGTGGAGATCGGATTGTGAACGGATAATATGTGTAGGAATTTTGAGGGGAGGAAAAACATAAATAAAATCCTAAAACGAGTCAACAACGAATTGACCAAAATAGTCTTACATGTGCTCAGGATGGTTTCTGATGCAGTCAATAAAATCTTTGGGGGTCAGCTGGCCAGTGCAGATCTTGTGGATGGCAGTGAACAATGGGAACCTAGAAAATGGAAGAATATGTTGTGAAGAGTTTCAGGAACTTGCTCAAAATTTTGGTCAATTTTGCGAAAAAAAAAAAAAAATATCACACAAAACAATCATTATTGCTTACTTCTCTTCCATATTCTTATTTTTCAACATATAATTAACTTCATCGGCAGTGTAAGGGCCCTGCAACTTTTGTCCATTCAACATTTCATCCTCCAGTTGTTTAATTGATTTGCCAGTTTTAACAAACGCCTCGCTGACTTTGCGGTTTCTACCGCCGTAGCAAGTGGTGATGAGATCGGCAACGCCGCAACTTTCGAAGAAAGTAGACAGTTTTCCGCCTGGATAGAATACGTCGACGAATTTTACCATTTCCATGAGTCCCAACCGGATAACCGCGGCTTTTGTGTTGTCTCCTAGACCTAGACCGTCTACGAAACCAGCTCCACAAGCCACAATATTCTATAATAGATAACTATTTAATACAAAAATTTAATTTAAAAAAACACTCATATGTAAATTGGCGGAACAGGTAACAGTTACTGAAAAAATTGACCTCTGGGCCAAAAATTGTCCATTTCAAATTTTAAGTTTTTTTTTGATTTGACAATAGACCTATCTATTTTACCAGACAAAGAGGTAATAATACAAAAACTTTATTAGATAGAAAAAGACGCAAAACGCTTATTGCGCAAGACGAGGCAAAACGTACCAAATTATGTTAGACTTACGTATAGCAATCCGTTCTTATTATTTGCACGGGATAAAAAAGGAAGGAGGAGAACCGCGTGACGTGCAACCTATTTGCCGATCACTTGTCAAGCTACGTCAAGTTGAATATCAAGCATAATTTTATCCTTGTTAGACTACGGGCAATGAACAAGGACAAGGAGATGCCCAGCATGCAAAAGGATTACTTCACACCTGTACTAGTTAGCCAATAAAAATGCATTGCCTCGTGTTGCGCGCGCATACAGGTAAAAATAGATAGGTCTACTGAACCCTATGCTGGAACAACGTTTCAAACGCCAAATTTTGTTTTGTTAGAAATTCGAAAAAAACAAAAAATTATCGATTGCTTTATCAAATATAGTGGATTTGTGCCTGATATAGATATAACTTAACTAAAAAGAACTTAGCATCTTATAGGTATTAAAGACCACATGAAGAATTGTGATGTTCGAGCATATTTTTCTCATTTCATTCAGACAACGTTGTATATCCATGTCGTTGACAACGTTGTTTCATGGAACTAAGGCGATTACAACGTTGTTTTAAGACTAAAAACAAACTAGGGCGAGGTTGCACTTAAAACGTTGTTCCGCAAAAAGGACAAACTGGACCAATTAAAATGGCATCAATAACCCATCAAAAAAAATCCTATGCCCCCACTATTAAGTAGGCGGATTATCCAGGGTACATACAATGTTGTTCCAAGAAAATACCGTTTTTACACATATTGTCGTTTGCAACGTTGTTCCAGCATAGGGTTCAATTATTGAATTATTTTTGTACCCATATTATATTTTGTTACCTTCCACCTCTATAGATGTATTTTTACCTTCAAAGCACCACAAACTTCAACAGTATCCTCATCATCGACGACTACCACTCTAAAATAGTTGGTCTGGATAATATCTCTCAGAAGTGGTCCAGCAGTAGCATCTTTGCAACCAATAGTAGTTTCACAGAACATTTCATCTGCAACTTCATTGGCTAAATTGGCACCCATCAAAACAGAGCATGGGATTTTGAGGTGTCTAGTGATAATGTGTGAGATCAGGTCGATACCACCACCTTCTGCACGATCAAAGCCCTAGAAAAATATTTCAAAATAACATATTGACGCTCAACTTCAGCTTTTGCTCTCAAACCGATTGGCGCTTAACAGATTTATTTGACCAAATCAGATATTTATATTGACAAGGATCAGAGCTAAGCGGATAAAGTACTATTAGAATCTTTGTTTTAATTTTTAAATTGCGTCTGTATGTATGTAATCAGAAAAATGAAAATCCCAATTGTGACATATCCATGAAGTTGCGCACAACAACGCAACGCTGTAGACTAGAAGATTACTTAGAAGGCCACACTACCGAAGAATGAAGTCAGTTTTGTGCACCTAAAGAAAACACTAGAAATGCACCCGACCGCGAACCTCAGCTTTGTTTTTTGTTAAACCAATTTTGGTACCTACCTAAATGTTATTTCTATGTATGTCATTTACCCTTTATATCGAAAGCTACGCGGCTAATTATTTAACCACACGAACCCTTCACCAATAATTTGAACATTACAGTCAATGAACTCTTGTTCAATTTAGGTATATCTAGTTCAAAACATCGCATAGTTTGAGGTGACGTTTCACTAATAATTGGCATTAGACACAAAAGTGTTTCATATGCATACTAATAATAACATATATGACTTTTTTTTTGGGAAACTTCCAAAACCATCGCCAAAACCCAATTATTTCAAAGAAAAAATCACTAAAATACTCAAATCTTACACACATAATCAAAAATTTACAATGTAAATTGCATAACTCCTTATTCCTTCTTGGGCAAAATGTAACTATTATTGTTGTGTTATTAGCTGTTTGTTTAAAATAAATAAATCAAGAAACTAGTGCACATTTGGACTATCTTGTTCATATTTATTTATTCAAAATAATTTATTCTGATTCTTTCATATAATTTTTCAAAGAGAAACAATCACAAAACTAATAATGTTGAATATCTTAATCACAAAATATTGCAACTAGGAATCCCATTAATTTTAAATATGAAATTAGGTTTATTCAATTTCCTGATTAATATGCGAACGCAGAATACAGCCTTGGAAAACTATTACTTAAATAGAAACAAGTCTATTTAAAATTCAACAATTTGTGTGGTGTTAAATCAAATGCGACACATTTTTTTTCATAAACCATAGATAATATTTCACTCACCTTTATCAAGGATAAAGCAATAGCGTTTGGTTTTATTTTTCCTAAAAGAGTGGAGCATAATGTCCTGATAAATTGATGAGGTACCACGAATATGAGGACGTCCGCGTCTTTTGCAGCGTCTACGACTTCGGGAATTGCTACCTGAAAGATACAAAAAAAATGAAAAAATAAAAAATAAAGCAAGCTTAAGTCACAAAAATAAACTTCCTTGATGAGATTTGTCAGATTCTAAGATCTCCTAATTATTTAATAATGACCATATAGGGTTCGAAATATTGTATGTATACATATATCTACTCAAAGATGAAATAGTTTCAGTGGTAAAGTTCCTATGAAAAGTATGTTGAGATTTTGTTATATGAACAAAATATTCAGTCTATAATTTTGGAGAAACTTAACTGATGTGAAAAATATAATATTTCTTTATTAAAAGTATTTCTCACTGTGTCCTCTATTATGAACATTTTTTTTGTTCACATAGCTTTTAATAATTGTCCTAATACATAACTTTGAAAGTTTACTTTATGTATGAGAAATTCAGAATATGTTCTCAAGTTTAGGTTGGAGTGGATATAAATTTCAAGAAACTTAATACATATATATAAGATATAAGGTTTATTGGATAGATCAAGGGAGACATTTAAGTACAGAAGACTTCAAAAAACCAATTATAGATTCTGTGCCAACAGTTGATCGTCTTGACCACATTACTACAGTTTTATTCAAGAATTGTATTAGATTTATCTGAAGTCAAATTGATTTATAAAAAAAGATAGGACTCAAGATTGAACCTTGAAGAATGCCAGTTGTAATATTCAATGAAGTTGAAGTAAAGTTTCTTACATTATTGTTACAAAATTACATTGCATTGTATGTACCTGTGATTTTCAATATTTTGGTCCGAGGCTATTATAACATATTCTATTGGAAAATTGACAATTTATTCAAATTCACAAGATCTAGATTTTTTTAGTTTCTACAACAGTATTACTTCACCAAGTTCATCTGTATAGGGGTAGAGTGTAAAATTTTCATTAGGTAACTTTAAATGTAAAATCATTGTATATTATTATTTAAGCTATTAATATTTTTTGGAGTCTATTTTGAGGATTATTTAGTACATCTTTAAGCAGGACATTTTTGAAAAATACATTAAACATGGAATTTTTTGATGATGATTGCATTTTGTATCAAGGATCATATTCTGTTTTCAAGTAGAAACATTACCTAGAAAGTTCTGTCTCAGCTTTCACTCACGTGACAAATATTTTTGCTGCTGTTAGTACATTAGGGTCATCAGCATATTTTAGTTAATAATTCATTTTTACCTTAGTTTTACCCAGTGAATATCATTCTAAATATTATTATACATTTGATATAATTGGGCCTAAGAGGCCACCCTGTGCTCTTATCTCATTATTATTCCATAACTTTGTGGACTAATTACCACGTGTACCCTTTCACATCTCATGCAATCATTTTATTGCTTTCGCTCTTACTCCATACATTTCCAACCTTTGAATCAAATTATCTAAGTACTTATGGAAGATTTTCAGTCTATAAACTTTAAAAAAATATAAGCTAGAAATCCAAAGGAGTTGAAAACTACTAGCAAAGAACATTAGTTATTGGATTGTTTAGAAAATCGGAAGACATATTGAACTATGCCCAAACTAAAAGAATCAAACAGGTCCTTTTTATATATTTTGATGGTATTTACACCTATCAAGTCACTGAAAAGAATACTATACGAAATTAGCCAGCACATACTCTACAACTTTTCAGATTCTCTTTTATAGGTACCTACCGGGTGCCCGAACCGCCGCGATTTATTTCTCAGAAAAAAAAATTGGAAAATTTCGAAAATTTGGCAACATTGAACATAGCAATTTCGATAGAGGTCGTCGGTTCGGTTATACCGGAAGTTTTGATGTAAACTTGCCTTCTTGGCCTTTCTTGCCTATTTTAAATAGGACACCCTATTAATATGTATAAAATATGCCATAAACTACCCGAGTCAAGATAGCATTTGACCCAGACAAGAATAATATAAAGCTGATTATTAGTAGAGATCATGCCTGAGGGGTAAATTGCAACATACTAAAAGTCCTGGCCAATCCTCCTTCCACAACCCCCTTTTTTCGCCCTCTAACCTCCACCCTTTTAATATTTTTGTGATTTTCTCGAAAATTGTCCACCTTAAGGAAAAATTTCAAGGGAGCATTTTTGAAGCTGACAAAATTTCCCTTTTAACGACGTATTGCGAGCCCATATAGTGCCACGTGGATCGCACCAGTGGCGTATCAAATAATCATATTTTTTGTCATTTATTCTCAGTTTTTGTGATCTAAGCAGAAACATATTTTTCTCCATAACCACCATTAAAAGGAAGTCTACTTGCGAATCTATAAGAAGTTTATCACAATTACTTCAGCCAAAACAAAAAAATTAGAAGTTTATCTGATACTTCTCAGCTATCAATTTGCCAAATAACAGGTGCACCTAGCACCACGCGCGACGTTGAGGTAGATATATTTTTTTATCCCATTTTGACGTTTAAAAATGACATTATTGAACGCATAACAATAAAGGTAAGTAAACGTTTATCACCTCAGTGATTTAAAAACATTTTAACTCACTCTCGGCATTTTAAGTCACTCTGCCCAACTAAAAATCTGAAATCTCAGTGATTTAAAATATTTTTAACTCACTCCCGGCATTTTTCCTTGTACTTTATTTTTTAAATTTCAACAAAATGGGATAAAATTTTGTATACATCACGTGAGTTAAAATTTTTATTCATTCGAAGAAAATTAACCCACTCGCTTGGGCTCGTGGGTTAAACTTTCTTCTCATTAATAAACATTCATTTAACTCACTTGGTGTATAAATAACTATTATCTTGATTGCGCTTGTGCATGCATCAGAGGCTAATGGGAAGCGAGTTTGTCACGTGTCTGCGTCATATTTACATTCAGGGTTGGGACTCTGTAACGAATAGAGACATTTTTTCTCGTTCTATTGACGTCCCTCCTCTACATATTGATTTCGAGAAGAAAGAAGAAAACAGGAAGTGCCATAGCGATAGGGATAACGATCTCTATCCGTTACAGAGTCCAAGCCCAGGGGCGAATTTAGAAGTAATCGTTCCTTCTTTCTTTGTATCGTGTAATTCGACAAGAAGCGAACTAATAATTTACTTTATCACTTCTGAACTCACCGCAGTATTGTTTAAGGTAACGTATTTGACATATTCCTCTGACCTTTCATTGTGCGATGTTGCCGGATGGAATATTTATCAAAATAAAAGTGCAAGCGATGTAAAAGACACTTTCAGCTCTTCTCTTGAACAATTTTTGCCTGTCAAAACTGCGCTACCTCCCTCACCCGAGACTACTACTCTTGAGAAAGATGTTTAAAATGTTGTTTTGAAAGTAAATAAAAAATCAATTAAACAGCAGTTTCAATATTTTTTGTTCTAGGGGGTCGTTCCTATACATCAATGGATTTGCAATTTTAAATGCTTATCACCTAAAAAAAAAAAACGATATTTTTCACCAAGCTTATAGTTTTTGGCCAAGTAAATTCGTGTCATTCGAGAACTATATATTAACCACGGGGCAAACTTTCTTTTGATACGCCACTGGTGCGTACCACGTGACAATATATGAGCTCGCAGTACATCGTTGCAGGGGAAATTTTGTCAGCTTCAAAAATGGTCTCTTCACATTTTTCCCTAAAGTGGATAGTTTTCGAGAAAATCACCAAAATATTAAACGGGGGGGGGGGGGGGGGGGGGGTTGGGGGGCGAAAAAAGAGGGTTGCGGAAGGGGGATTCTCCAGGACTTTTAGTATATTAATATTTAGCCCTAATTTATGATATAAGTATACCAAAAATTAGCTTTATATTATTTTTGTCTAGCTTTACCCAAAATTTGAACTATCTTGACTCGGGTAAACGGTTAGACTTTGGTATAGGGCATTATTTATAAAATATGTCTAGAATTTAGCTTTTAATCCTAAGATAAAATAATATATACGCCTGGCAAGTAAACATCTTACATGCCAATTTTATTGCGATAGAATGAATAGAAAAAGTCTAAGGTTAAATAGAGAGCAAAAACGATTTCCCCTGTTCCACCTCCAGCAAAAAGCTCTGGGAATGCTAGAGGTGGAACAGGGAAAATCGTTTTCGTTCTCTATTCAATCTTAGACTTTCTTTAGATATTTCATTCTATCGCATCAAAATTAGCATGCAAGATGTTTACTTGCCAGGCGTGTATACCTAATATACAGGCTGTTTGGTACATCGATAGGAAGTTTTCAATGTGCGATAGTTGGGGTCATTTGGAAGCTCTTTGACCATATTTACCCTTATGCAAAGTTTCGTCGTTTTTCAGATATCAAGATTTTTAGATGTTCTTGGGAAATATTTTAATTGTTCCTAAAACATATTGCTTTCTTTGGTAGTAAACACTTTAACCTTTTTCTATTTTTTTCCGATGTTCCCCATATGCACTCTTTGGAAACAATACGAAAAGAAAAACCGAATGATTGATACAAAAAATATATAGCCCAACTTATGTGTTACGTTACAATACATGGATTGAAAATATCTAAAAATGGCGATATATCAAAAAATGGCGATATATCAAAAAATGGCGAAACTTTGCATGAAGGTAAATATGGTCAAATAGCTTCCAAATGACCCGAACTATCTCTCATTGAAATCTTCTTATCGATTATCGATATATGCAGGATGTTTGGCACCCTGTACATATACAGTGTGTCCAAGCTAAGGATGGGATAGCATTAGGATCTGGAGAACGGTTGAAGTTAGAATGTTGGCTAGATTAGGAAAAAGTTGTGCAATTCAACACTCAATAAAATGGTACTTTACCATTTTCAAAAATTTCGAACATTTTCCGAGATATCTGGAAAAAACCGAAATTTTTTAAAATCGATTCTATTTTTTCCTGAGCTTATTTGAGGAGATATTTCAAAATAAAAGTCACTTCATCGTTACCACTTTTCCTACTCTACAAGATCACGATGACATTATCAATTTTAGAATTTGACGTTTCGTCTTTGTGCCACCATCATCAACTTCATTCTTTTAAATACGGACCCTTATTTTTTATTTTATAAGTTCCTAATGTCCCAAAACCAATGACGTATTACACTTATTCAAGAGAATTTTGGTAGGAAAATACTAAAAAGAACTTTTTCGAATAAATGCGATACATCATAGGTTTTGGGACATCAGAAGCGCTTAAAATCTGAAATAGAAAATCGAGGGCCATATTTTAAAAAATGAAGTTGATTAGGTGGCTCAACGACAAAACGTCAGATTTTGAATTTGAAAATGTCATTTTGAGAGTAGGAAAAAATGTTACGAAGAAGTGAAATTTATTTTGAAATATCTCCTCAAATAAACTCAAAATTGCGGTTTTTTCCGGATATCTCGGAAAGTGTTCGAATTTTTCAAATGTCAAAGTACCATTTTATTGAGTGTTAAATTGTGCAACTTTCTCCTAATCTTACCGACACTGTAACTCCAACCGTTCTCCAGATCCTAATGCTATCTCATCATTCCCATCCTTGTCTTGGACACATTGTATAGGGTATGCTATTTAAAATAGGCAAGTTGACATCAACATTCAACTTCCAGTATAACCGGAACTGCCACAGACTTACAAATATTTTACCTGGATGGCCTCCATTGAATATGTTGCCAAATTTTAAATATTTTCCAAAGTCTATTTTCCAAGAAATCAATGCATGTTCTTTGACGCACTTCCGCAAAGCTTCTTGTGAAAAATGATATAGAAGTAGAAGATTAGAAATCAAGTAAGAAGTCGAGAAATCCACAGAAAAACAAATAAAAATTCGCAGATAAAAGTTTGCATAAAGAATCTTAGAAAAGAAAGCATGACTACCAGATGAAGACCAAACAACTAGATGATGATCAGTTGAATGATTTATCCCTCGATTTATCCCTAACACAGAAATGGTTTTTCTAGGTAAATGATAAAAAAATGGAACTGTTCTGGTAAAAGAAATGAAATTCAATTAAGATAGTATAAGGAGCTGTCACGAATAGGTACTAGAAAATATTATTTCAAATACTTATCAAGTATCAATTATGGGAAATTCATGCTGCAACTACAGAAAGTATTTCAAGTTTCAAGTACATAATTAGATACTTGATTATTTATAACTATTTTTTTGCCCTAAATCCACAACACTTCCTATTCATATTTATAACTATCAAAAGTGCCTTGCAAATCCACAACATAACAAATTTTTTCACCCTCATTTAGACCCGGCCCAGTTGCACCTACATTCCAATTTCAAAAATTGGTGGTCGAAAGCACGATAGTCCACCATTTTAAGTACTTACTTATTTCAAGTGAAAATACCCAGAGTTCGAGTACCAAATACAAAATACAAATACTTTACATAAAGTATTTGCAGGATCAAGTACAATCATCCAAAAATAAAACTATGTATTCGAATTATAGTAGGTACATACTGTTGTACATACTTCAACTACCAACTAAAAAGAAATTGAAATCTAATAATATATTTTCCAAGTAATTTACTTGAAGTACTGACAACTCTGGGTGTATTTACTTAATTTGTATGTTAACAATAAATAATACTTATTTTAGATTTTGCGTTAAACTGAGAAAAAAATCTTTTTTGTGTTTTTTTTTTCTTTCATATAAAATTGGACTGAAAAAAACATATCTACATATAGGCAATATTGTCATGTCAGCAGAAGAACTTACATAGCAGAGACCTATCTAGTAGGTAGGTACGTTAATTAATACCTACCTCATTTTCCTAATTACAAATAAAAATAAATGTGCTTGCTCCTTTCAACCTATTACATAATTTAACAAATAAATACCACTTACAACATTGGTTGGCAGCTTATGATTTGGTAAATATTTAACATTTTCATGTGTTTCATTTATAATTTCTGTTAACTTTTTGCCCTCGATCATTTCTTCATAAACATACATAGTGACCCTGTCATCGAGATGCTTCAAACGGGCAGCATTGCCCCCCACAATCTTGGCAATAGCTGAGCCCCTGAAAAAAAGTACGATCTTATTTAATTTCCCTTGACATTTTACGGATTAATAGAATCCTTTGCCAACTGCAAGGGACTATCATAGATTGTTTAATTGTTATATACCGTGCGTTCGTTATTTTGGTCTGAGTTCTCCGAGCTTGACTTTACCGTTCGTTTATTTAAAAAGTGTACTCGGTGCAGCCTCATTCGCGTTCGTTTATTAAAATTTCCGGTACTTTTATACAGCGTTCAACTGCTCCGTTCGCTCGCTGGTCACGTGATTACGGCTCCGCTCAGCTCGCTCTACACTTTGAGCAAAATACCGAACGCAAGGATAGTTGTTACTTAACAGTCTCATATTTTAGGTTATGTGACGAAATTATAGCAAAATATTTGGCGACAAAAATGTACAAGCTTCTTGATTCTTTCTTACCAGTTTCCACTTCCAATGATGCAGATTTGTTTAGGGTTAGTACAAGCCATTTTTGCACTGAAAATTGAACGGTTATCGGATGAAAATGTACGCTCGAATCGAGAGTGAACTTGAAGAGACGAAAATAAACTTTGAACTGACACTGACACAAAATTTGAAAAGTTTTTATGTGAATGCTTAGCTGCTCTAAGCGAGATAAGGATGGAAACGGAAGGGGCACAAAGTCGAATACGGCAATGATAAGAAGAGGATAATTTTCGCCAATGGGAATTTGAATAGTATTTAAGTACACTAAACATAAGAATTTAAAATTTAATGAGTTATAGATGTTTTTCTAATAATTTTATTAGTGGAATAGTTTTCAGGATGCCCCATATTATCAAGTGTTATCAATGAGCAAATGGAATTTTTTTTTCTATGCTAATTCTAATTAGATAATAATATGCTACGCATTTACTACGCAGATGCACCTGCTGACTGCTGTTTATTTTTATTTTGTCTTGGGATTCAAAAAGCATGGAGCCGGGAGCTTTTTATCAAGTTTATCACGGTAACACGTTGGAAAATTCCTTTAGCGAAAATTAGTACCTAAATATTTTCAAATAAATTCATAAAAAAAATAACACGTCAAAGGTCAATAGAGATCTATGACTCTATTTCATGATTGAGAGACTGAAATAACCTCTGAAATTAGGTTCCTACCTAAAACAAATAAGATGGGAAATGTTTAAACAAACAGACCCATCAAAACAGAACCTTTATCTTCTGGAAGGAAACAGACCTAGACTAAAAAATCCGCTTGTCGTTTTCCCGCCAACGGAATTTTTGATAAACACATCCTGGTTTCCGTCGTTTGACAAGTGATACTCTCTCTAATTATCCTCTTGCTACTAATTCGTGAAAAAATCCTCTAACTTACCACTCGACCCTTAAAATTAACCATAAGTTTTCCTTCCAAACGTTTTTTTTTTCAATATTGGTCCGCTCACAAAAGACAAGCCTATATAGGTACTACTTGATACTACCTAAAGCGGACAAGCGGTGGGAGTTCCAGAGGTAGAAAGGCAGTAGGCCACCAAAAACAAGCCCTGATACGGGGTACCCAACTTTACTACATACGGATGGGATTGGTAATATTGATATGGGAAGCCCGTGAGCGTTTTCTTGTGGTTCTCAAAGACATTAATTCCTCCTAGCTGGAATGAGGCTGGCCGGATCGTTAGAACATCTCTCATGATAATATAGCGATATAACCTTATAACAATAACGACAAGTCGGCCATACCTTGCGTCTATGTTCGAGGAGAGATTGCAATGAATCCATGAGTTGGATTATCGATCATTTTTACTGCTCTTCTTTGTATTGCATCTAATAGAGCCATAGAATGCTTGGGAGCATCGCTCCAGACGTGGGAACAGTATTCTATATACATATGGTCTGATTTGAGCCTTATTATAAAGGAGAAGTTTTTGAAAAGTTAAGAAGCTTTTTGCACGAAACAGAAATCCTAATTTTTGAGAAACGGTTTTGGTTATCGAAGATACATTTGTCATGCCAAGACAACTAAGACAAGTTGGTCGATGTCCCGACATCCTTAAAACTGGGTTATCATCGGCGGCAGATTTAAGAATACTGTTGCTTGAATTTGACTAGGTTAAGGTTACGGCCCTACTTGGGTAATGTGGTCAAGATCCATTGTTGATAGAGTGTTCTCGGGCGAGGCATGTGGAAGTGGCTGCTGCAGTAAGCGGTTTGTCCTGAAGAGAAAGATGCCATCAAGCCGCAAAGCTGTATAAAGGTGTTTCTTGTCACAAAAAAATCATTTTTTATAAAAATGAGAAGCCGTGTTGGGGACAGAAATGACCCTTGGGGAACGCCGGCATTTACAGGCAGACACACCATCGACCACAACATGCAGTGACCTGCCTTCCAAAAAGCTCCCCAGCCAATGGCAAAATTCTTTCGGAAGACCTTTTGATGGAAAGTTGCTGAGGAGAACTTTTAGGCTGTTCATTTGTACTTGCTACCTGCTCGAAAAATCAGGAAGATCTGCTAGGAGCTGCTATTTATGAGCTTATATTATATGGGAGTTATGAGACAAGTGAACGTCGATCAGCTGCTGAGATCTGCTTGAAGCAAGAAAAGCAGTACAAACAAATGAACAGCCTATTTGTTCCAGGCCTGATCAAAAGCCTTGGAGATGTCCAATGCTACAATTCTGGATTAGCAATGTTAATCGAGAGTCGAGTTCCAAATATGACTGACGTACGCCAGCAGATCCCCTGTTGATCTTTCTAGAACGAAACCCGTGTACTGTTTGTCGAGATGAGCTTATTGGCTCTGAAGTATTTAACCGCAGGCTGCACTCTGGCACATTTACAGATAGACGGAAAAACGCTCGACCGTAATAGAGAGTGGAAACAGTTTGCCAAAAACTGAAGCCAATTCTTATGCGCAAGTTTTGAGGACAATTAGTAGAATATGCCGTCAAGACCGCAAGGTTTCCCAGTGTCAAGTTGCAGAAGAATTCTATAATAATAGTTTTAGGTCTGCATACAACGTTGTCCATGTAAGAACCAATGTGTGTGGCAGTACCTGACATTTTCCTCCATTGTGGAATTGGATACAAATTGTTTGGCAAGAGATTTGCTTTTTTCTATTGTCCTTAACTAAAGGCGGAAAGGAGGAATATGTGAATTTTTTTCCTATGGCCTTGGCAAAGGACTTTGATCCACTCAGGCATTCCAGAAGTCATTCACGCACTTGTTGGTTGTGTAACTCGCGGAAATGTCCATATTTTCACAAAAACCCTTTTTTCGATGAATCGCAATTATTAGTTTTACCCCTTTAAACCAGCCTCAAAGTTATTTGCAAGTCTTTTCAATTCGCCTTAATGGTGTATATTGGTACTGCCTATAGCATCCTGTACCATTTGTGCCTGAGACTAGGGTGGAAATGTCCATACTTTCACAAAAACCCTTTTTTCCGTGAATCTCAATTATTAGTTTTACCCCTTTTGTTACAAATAAATATAGTTATTTGTAATTTAGAGCAAGAGAACCTATAGGGTCGTGGAATTCAAAAATAAAGATATCGTGTAGCTTCTTAATGTGCAAATGAAACCACTCAAATTCCAACAAACAATAATTTTATTACTGTAAATATTAACAATGTATTGGGTTTTTGAAGTTATTTATGAACATTTATCTCAACATTTAGTCTTTCTGGTGAATCTGATACTTATACGGAAAGTTCATTTTAAAACTTGAAAATTTTAGTAAAAATCCCTGAGAGCACGTGCCAAAACAATAACAAAATCTGACTTGGTCAATCCTTCAGTAGTTGAATCTAATCCACAAATAACGTCAGTCAACTTAGCAAACGGCTTACACATAACTTGAATTGAATACATGCTTTTAAGAAGAACATTTTGCTGAATATAGTCACTCAAATCAAATCAAATCAAAATTGCTTTATTGTAGGAAGACATAGTCTCATTTACAAAGCTGTGGAAAATAAACTACATAATCATAATATCCATAAGATCCAACTTCCTAATAGATTACATATCTTGATGACAAACTAGTAATAAAATTCTAATCACTAAACAATGTAAGATAAAAACAAAAATAAAAATTAAAAATAAAAATAAAAATAAAAATAAAAATAAAAATAAAAATAAAAATAAAAATAAAAATAAAAATAAAAATAAAAATAAAAATAAAAATAAAAATAAAAATAAAAATAAAAATAAAAATAAAAATAAAAATAAAAATAAAAATAAAAATAAAAATAAAAATAAAAATAAAAATAAAAATAAAATTAAAATTAAAATTTAAAAAAAAAAAAAAAAAAAATATCAATATCTACCTATAAATGAATAAATATCTAGGGTAGTATTGGGCTAGTTATTTAAACCTAATTGAAATTATGGGACAGGAACTCATCAGAACTGTAAAACCCCTCCGCAGCCAAGAGTCTTTTCACCGTATTTCTAAACACCCTGTAATCTACAATTCGTCGAATCTGGTCAGGCAACTTATTGAACAGCCTTTTACTATTATAAAGAATCGAGTTCTTGGTTAAAGTTGAAGAGGGAATGGGCAGATCAATGGTAAACGAGCTTCGAGTATTTACAGCGGATACAGAGTGTACCAGATTCAGGTACTTCCTATGCATTAAATGTAGGCTTGCACGAGTCTCGGAGTCGCAAACCGAAAACACATCTAATAGCGCGCTTCTGTAACAAAAATACTGACTGGAAGAGGTTATGAGAGCAAGAGCCCCAGAAACAAATGTCATATCTTAGATGGGATTCTATAAGAGAAAAATAAACATTCTTTGCGATATCGGTATTCAATTCATTTTTTACGGCCCTGATAGCGAAGCAGCCGGAAGACAGTCTAGAGCACAAATTGGAGATATGAGTCCCAAACTTCAGCCTACTACTGTCAATGTACAAGCCCAAAAATCGGTTTTCGCTCAAGTTGTTGATAGGCTGACCGTCAATTGAAATGGAATTATTGAAATTACCCTTAAAGTGAATTATGTTCGTTTTGGAAACATTAAATGAAAGCAAATTAGCATCACACCATTTTTTGATATTTGATAGGTCAGTGTTCACCATGTCATTGAGCAGAGCACTATTACTGGAAGTGGATTGAACGGTTTTTGTTGCTGTAGTCTCTTTCAAATCCTGGTTACTTCCTCTTGAAAAAAAGCTAAATAGCTATTTGTGATTTTAGAACAGCAATCTCACTTGTGTATGATAAATTTTCCGCCTCTAGAACCCTAATTGATATGATCATGAGTCTATTAATTTCATTAAGATTCTCCATATCCCTATAAAAAGCAGAAATTTTATCCTTCTAGGATTAAACAGTTAGATCCAGAGCGAGTAAAAATTTAATATTGTCGCGAAGGGATACAACTTCTTCGCTTTCCATATTCAACTTCCCAAGGATTTCCTTTTCGGCTTGAAAAACATTGTCCTCATATTCTTGAGTTTTCCTTCTGTCTTTTTTAATTGCTGATTGGAGACATTTTATTTCAGACTTCATCTTAGATAGCTGTTCTTCTAGGTCCTGTTTTACCTCGTCTTTATCAGAATTTATTAAATCAAGCTGATTATTTTTCTCACTGATTTGGATCTTAAGTAAGTGAATCTCAAGTTGCAATCTATCAAGCTCATTGATAGGCAGATCCGGGCTACCATCTTTTCCCAGTGACCTTTTGCATTCCTTAGAGCAATATATTTTGTGGTCAACCAACTTGATATGATTTGTAAAATCCCTTTCCAGGCAGCTGGGATGGAAAAGATGAGAACAGGTCACACAGCAGTAATACACACAACAAAAAAAGTTTTGCACCGCCCTGAAATGTAACGTAACTACAGAATACTTATCGACAAATGAAAATATCAAATCAAATCAAATCAAAATATGCTTTATTGTCTAAAATCAAGTTTTGTTGACAAAGCTAATAAAATAAAAAAAAATTAAAAAAAAAAATCACATAATAAGTATAAGTGCAATAATAAAGGTCAAAATAGATTCAAACATTACAGGTCCTAAGGTCAACATACAAAATATAAAATATAAAACAAGCAAACACAACTAAGTCTAATGTGCGTATTACATCTGTGTATTTATTCATGTAGTTCAGGGTGACAACCAAAAAACTTCAATCGCAACATAAATCAACATTATGAAAAACAAAATAATGTTGGCACCCTGAACTACATGAATAAATACACGGAAAAATACACAGATGTAATACGGGTTTTAGTCTAACACGAATATTGGTAAACTTCAAAAAAAGATAAAATTTTAATTTTAAAAAGCAGCAGATGAACAGGAGAGATCAAATCAATACTCAACAATATTGTTATCTTCAACTATGGAATGTGTCCAGTACATTTACTAAAGGAAGGTTTAGGAACCTGAAATTGTTTACTATTTTTTTATCAATAATTTTTGAATTTAGATACCTATCACTGAATATATAAAATGAGATGGTGCAAAACTTTTTTTGTTGTGTATAGATTATAGTTAATGTGGTTTATTAGCACAGCATCTGAATTTGAATTTAGACTTGGTGTTCATTGCTTATCCTTATAACTTATTGAAAATTAGTATAGGGTATATTGCACAGACAAAATACTTTAGTCCGGTACTGGTTTATTTGTCGTTGTTCATTCTAAAGTTCGGAAGCGTTGTTTATTTTATGCCGGTTTTCCACTAAACGGAGTGTTGAGATTGTGTTTTGTCTATGTTTTAAAACAAAAGCAAAACTGAAACAAACCCAAAACTCTCTGTTTCCGTCAAGCGGACTACGTTTTGTTTTTTTGGTAAAAAATTCGTATACAGACTATAAAACTGAAGTCAAGTCGAAAAACAACCAGGCAAAACACAACAAGACACGTCGAAACCCTTTGATGCTTACCGCTTCCGAGCGGGACCCGAAAAAACAAAATTCCAACTGTCGCAAAATACGGTAGTCTTCAAAATGTTTGGGAAAAGTTTGAGTTTTGTTTTTGTTTTGTCCGTTTGGTGGAAAACCGGCATTAGACCTGCGATAAGCCGGCCAAAGAAGCTAGCAAAAAATATGTAATCCAAACAATATTGGCGGATTTCAACCAAAACTTTGGTGATTTAGGCTGATTAGCGCTGTATCGCGCAACAAAACTAGGAAAACTAGCGAAAATTTTGAAGACACATTCCCTCAGTGCTCGTGGAGCTAACATACAAAAATCAGAAAAATACGATTCACAAAACCGGCGAAAACTATTGTTAAACACGGAGCATTTAACAATGTAACACACAGGCAGCGTCATGTCTTGCTTGCTCAATTGCTTCATTGTCCCTTACTCGAAAAGAAAATACTTGGATGAGTTAGAAGTAACTTCCTGAATTCTTCAAATCCACCTACTATGTAGAACGAGCAAGTCACTACATGCCAAGTGGCTGTGGCCATAGTAAACCATCTCATCTTAACCAAAATTATATATCGTCAATTTTATTTCAAGCATAATATTGTTCAACCCAAAATGTATGCAGGTCATCTTTGAATAAGTCCAAAATCTAGAGGAAATGGTAAATGAACTATCACTAGTTCAAGAAATAAAAAAATAATCAAGCCAAACTCAAGATTTGGAGTCCTAGCCATCTGTCTACTTGTTTTTGTCATAACCATAGTAGTTGAAAGAAAGCTGGCAGTGGAAAATTCTTAAAGAACCCAATATCCAACCTAAAACCTGAGCCCCCCTTGGAAATATCAGTGGTTTTCTCCTACTTAAGGTGGGACTACAAGTTACATTTCACAATTTCCATACAACCTCTTGACTTGAGTTGTTGCCCATTACATGCCCAGCAGAAAGAATTGATGAAAATGGTTCACTTTTGGAATAAGATTCCATTCCATATTGTTCAGCCTAAGTAAAAGTGTAATTTGGATTAACAAATCTTTTTTAAAATTAATTAATCCCAGCCATCATCATAATTGGCATCACCTACATAAAAAATCAATAATAGTTTTGATGTGCAGCACAAATGTCCCCCCTATAACCTCTAACAACAGAAATAACATACTTCCTATTCTAGTTAATCCAAAGAAAAATGTATAACTCCTCAATTAGAATGAATTTATTTAATTATTTTTTGGAATACATAACATACACTTATAGGATTATACTTTAAAAAAAAAACATAATTATGCTCTTAAGTACCGCATCAACAGCTACAAGAAATAAATAATCAAGACCTCAAAAGTTACATTTAGATGGTTATTACATTAACAACAATTATTGGAAGATACAGCTCGCACTATGTTATACAAATCGGTTGTGGTGGTGCTAGTGATATCTAACCACATTGATAACGATGAAAGCAATAAACTAAATAGCCGGTAGGATGCCTATTCCTCCTTTGCTTGACTTGCAGACTCGAGAATGATTTCGAATGAAAACGGTTGGAATGCGTAACCTGCTCCTGAGTAGAATTTGGAACAGAACTCCACCCTGAAATAAAATTAATTTATTTTATTTTATGGAAATTACAAGAAGTAAAAATAACTAACCAATGAAGACGGAGGGTGTGCAAGAAAGCAGACAACCCTTCCATTAATACCAAAATGGAGATAGTCAAAGATCCCCAAATAGCGAAAATTATATAGAGGGCGACGCCACCTGCCCAACCTTCTACTGTCAATCCCTTATTGAGCACCATTTGCCATAGTACTTCAGACAACTCTAGAAAAAAAAAATACATTTTTTAAGAAAAAAATAAAGAAATCAAAAGCTTATTGTTTGATTAACGACATCAGAACTTGTGGCAGGAACATCAATATAGATATAAAACATTTGATGTCATGAGAGCCGCATTCTTTTTAGATTAGCGAGTGATTACAACGTTTTAGCGGCACCTACTTTTAAGTAGGTGCATTTGACTCTCCTAGCTTCACCCTAACCCCTCAATCTTTATCTTGATACTGATGGTTTGGGCTGGGCTTGTTACTCCATTCTGTGGAGAAGATCAGCCAGAAGTGCCACAACGAGAATGTATTTCAGATTTCAGTTTCAATAGTTTCTTTGTATTTGTAATTTGTTTGTCAAAAATTAACTTAAAATTTGTCATTATTTTTGTTTATGTACCAGGTACTATTGACATGAAAAAGATATTTGTGCATAATTTTTTGTACCTTAATAATAAATGGCTGATATTAAATAATTACCTTCAAGTACTAGTTTAGCAAAGGTCCTTCACAAAAATATCATGTTTTTCTCTATAAGTAGTTTATTTTGATGCCTAACTATTGTTTCATGATCAAAAATCTGGGCGCAAGTATTTAATGCTTTTTTGCTGTAAAGCTTATGAACACAAAATAACTCAAAGTAACCCATACTGACCCCGTTCTCATCCAATTTGAGCTGTAGGGTTCGCATTCCGAGGACGAGTTAGTTTGGGTAATTTTGCTTTACAGGAAAAGCAAAGCTATCATATAGCGCTTTTTTTCAAGATTTTGTCAATTTTATTAAGTTAGTTTTGGGTAATTTTCTTAAGTAATTGTTATTATTATTTCCTAACTCGAGCTTTTGTGACTGTTAAAAAGAACACGCCTCCCGATGTAGTGCTATCATTTCATAATGAAAATAAATCACTCACGTGCATGGGCTAGAGACAAAGCCCACAACCGAAGATAAGAAGCGGTGTGAGAAATTGAACCCAAAACGTATTCAATAGTATGAATCCCCTGGTGAATGTAAATTTCAGACATGGGCTCTTCATCATGACCTCCACCACCTCCTTGGGTGACAACTGGTGTTTGGGAAGTATTATTATGCATCGGCTGTTCAGCATCTCCATTTTCTGTAGCTGAATGAAGTTGGTTGTGGTTTGTCTAAAAAAAAAAATACAAATAAGTATTATGCATGACTGAATATTTTATCAAATCAATATTACTTACATTATGAAGAGCTGCAGCTTTTCTAGCTCTATTAATCATAATTGGCTTGGCCAACAACATCCATGGTACACAAAGAAACGCGGCGAAAAACAGAAATTTCTGGATACCCTCTTGCCCAGCATACATATTGGAAGTTTCACAAATTGGTTCATATGGTGTGCGCTTATTGAGGACCATGTTGATAAAGGTAATCAGAATTGAAGGAGCGCATCTTGTACCGTAAACAATTTCAGTTGCTAAATAATAAAATCATTAGATTACTATAATACATGTAGGTAGATAACAAAAACTTACGTTCGTTTGTAGGATAATACATAAACCACTTGATGAACATCAAAAGTACCATGTAGAAGAACAAGAATGTTAGGAAAATTACTTGAGGGATAAATTCACAGATGATGTTGAGGTGGTTATTGAAGTTCCTACGAAAATCATAAAATAGTCTCAAAAAAAATAGATACACTCATCAATGTAACACTTACACATTTTTGAAATAGCTGATAGCAACACCAAACAACATATGGATAATACCAATGATGATCGAGAGCTTCATTTTGAACGAGTTCAAAAATATAATTTTGTTTTTGGATAATTGCCATACAGGATCCAATCCAAATGGATAGGAATATTCTGGAAAATGTAATAAATTTAGTCTCTATAGACATTCACTTGCTTCTTTCAACTTACGAACATAATCGTCTGTTGCAGGATCCAACATATGGTCAGTTGTGATCGATTCAACATATTTAAGAGTTAAATTCGACACTTTCCAACTTGATCCAAATATATTTACTGATTTCGAAAAGACATCATTGTATATCAAACCAGTGTACATTGAAAACAATCCCATAAGTAAAATAATGTAACGACCACCAAAGAATATATTCCAGATCTGTTAAAAACATCGTTATTACACTTTGTTTTCATTTCACAAGTTAACCTACCTCATTATCAGATTTTTTCGCAGCTAAAGGCTTCTCCTTCAGTACCATCCAAGCGCCAAATACCGCCATAAGCGCACCGTGACCAAAATCGCCAAACATAATAGCGAACAGGAAAGGGAACGTAATAATGGTGTATGGAGTGGGATTCATTTCCCTATAAGAAGCTATTCCATAGGAATCGTATAGTGCCTGGAAAGCTGACGTAAATTTGTTTGTGTGATTGTAAGTGGGAGGGTCTTCTGGTGTGTCCATTCGATTTAGGATTGGTGGCACTGAACTTCCACTGCGTTCCTAAACGAGAAAATGGTTCAATCAAATATTTATTGGCGATAATACTAGTCATCATATAAAAATTAGAATCATAAACTGAAATACGAGGTTCGGAAATAAACAGTAATTATTTAATTAATAGTAGATTCTCGAGTAGATTATACCACGAGTCAATAATGATAACTATTATTCCTGAGGAATATTTACGAACTGAGCCGCGTTAGTGGCGAGGGAATAATAAATAATAGCCAATATTACGAGTAGTATATACTCTTCTTTATTTACGACAAATTAATTTATTTGAGATTTTTAATGAACAAATTATGGTGCATGGTGTCAGGTTAAAGAACCTTATTCGAATGGCAGAATTGAACCCTAAAGAATTACAATAACAGTCGGAAGAGCTTAAAAAAAATAGTAGCTGTACTACAAATTCAGGGATGTCAGAATCAAAACCATACACCTATTCAAAAAATGGTAACAAGTACTGTTAGCCAAATACCTACAATCCAGAAGTTCAGTTTTCATAAAGATGATTGGACGCAGTGGATAACATACTATGAAAGGTACAGAATAGTTACAGAATTAAATACAGCTTCACAAAAATTGCAGATCACAAATCTATTATTGCACATGGGACCTGAAGTTGATAGACTATTGGGACAATTGGACAAACCAGAGAGTGTTTTAGAAACATAAGAAGAAACCAAAGAAATGTTTGATCAACATTTTAAAATAAAAAAATAATATAATTTATGAACGAGCTAAATTTAACTTGGGACATCAACACGAATGTGAGAGTGCTTTATTAGTATATTAAAGTATAATAAGTGGATATTAAGGTCTTTAAAACACGCGCGATTTTTCGAGCACGACGGCGCAGCCGGAGTGCTCGAAATAGAGCAAGTTGACATTTAGACTTTACCTACCTTTCTTGGGTTGTTGATGTTGTAATGATAACTTTAAAACACGCGCGTTTTTGAATGTTGGATTTAAACACGCTGAGGAGTACTTTAAATAAGTAAAATAGGTTATCAATAAAAAAAAATATATAGAAGTTTTAAGAAAATTATCGAAATCTTGTAACTATGGTAAATTAACAGACGAATTTATCAGAGATAGACTGGTTGTAGGTATATTAGATCACAAATTATCAGAGCAGCTACAACTGGATGATAAATTGGATCCCAAGAAAGCTATAGAGAAGAATACACAATCGGAATTAATACGAGAACAAACTAAAGATATAAGAAGTAAAATCGCAGGTACCTCTAATATAAATGAAATAAAAAAGAAGTATACAAATAAAAGGGATAAAAGGTCACAATCAAGAAAACCAATTATACAAAGAACTAGATGTTTTAGATGTGGAAATTCACCTCATGCATATAAAAATTGTCCTGCAAATGGAGAAATATGTTCAAAATGTAAAGTTAAAGGTCATTATGTCAAAGTTTGTTAAAAGTGTAGAAGTTGACAGCAAACACCCAGACACGTACCATTGCCTTTATTGGAGACTGTACGGTTAGAGCTTGATGATATGGTAAAAAAAGGAGTTATTAAGGAAATCAACGAAGCTACAGAATGGTGTTCTCCGATAACAATTGCTAAAAAAAATCAATGGAGTAAGAATTTGCACGGATTTTATTGAATTAAATAAGTTTGTTGTCAGAGAAAGATTTGTTTTGCCAACTGTAGAAGAAATGAGAGCACAGTTGCCAGATGCTAAATTTTTTTCAAAATTAGATTGCAATAAAGAATTTTGGCAGTTAATGTCTAGTAAAGAAAGCCGAAAATATACTACATTCATAACACCATTCCGCAGATTCGTTTATAAAAGATTACCTTTCGGCATATCCAGTGGTCCAGAAATTTTTCAGAAAATTTTAGAGAATATATTTATGCAAGAAGGCTTGAACGATGTGTTTGTTTATGCGAATGATATTTTGGTTAAAGGACATACGATTTCTGAACATAATAAAAGTTTACAGAAGGTTATGATGACAGTTTTACAAAAATATGGACTGAAAAATGCAAAATCGGTATGAAAGAACTTAAGTATTTGGGAGGAATAAGGCCAGATAATTCAAGTATTCGAAGGATTGGAGGAATGTTGGAACTATAAGAAAATGGATTATGGAGACCTGTATACAGGGTGTCCCCGTTAAACTGGTCAAAAATGCTAGGGTATATAGAGGAAACATAGAGAAGTAGGTAGTTTGAGATAGGACACCGGTGGTCGGAAGTGCGTCGTTTCCAAAATGAAGTTTAAACAACCCCCTTTTATATTTATTTATTTACGGGCAAGACCCAATAAAGTTTTGAAAAAAACAAAAAGAAAACATAAGTACCTTATAACTAAGTAAACATAAGCCAGTAATATTTGACGTAGTAACAGGATAAAAGTACATATACCTACATTAACAACAGTATAATATTAAATCGGTTATAGGTATAAAAAAAAACGAGGACAGACGTAAATAATGAATGATCAAGATGACTTGACATTCTTAGCTATTTAATTTGGTATCACAAACAAATGAGGAGAATTACTATCACATTAGAGAGTTAAGCTCTCTTTTAAAGCTATTTATAGGTCCAAAAAAATCCAGGCTACCATGGGTGTTACATAACCGACATAAATTCTGGAGATGAATGTATTGAAACCATAGTTTGTACGGTGATTTCTTTTTGAGAAGGTTATGGAAGAGCGGGTGTCCCTTGCTAGGACGTGAAGCCCTATTCTTGACAGTAGAAGTGCGGAATCACTAATGGAGTTCAGTACCTTGTAAAAAGGATACAAATCTCTTTGATTGCGTCTAGCTGATAAGAGTTGTAGACTGAAGCGTCTGTATAGGTCATTGCAGTTCGCAGTCATAGATGTAGTTATCAGGCGAAGGATTACCTGCCTTGAAGGCTAAATAACATACGAATTTGCGCTGCACTAGCTCTAGGGTTCTGATATGATTAGAGTACATCGGTGACCAGACAGAGCAGCAGTACTCCATCTAAGGCGTCACCATTGAGCAATAAAGGTATCTGATAGAATCTATGCTTGTAAAGTCTCTCGAACACCTCTTAACGAAGCCTACGAGTTTTAACGACCTTATCGTGATGTTTGAAATATGGGCGGTAAAATTGAGACTGCTGTCAAAGATGACACCAAGATTTCGTTGTTGTGAGACTGTTTCAAGTGGCTACGACCCTTGGGGAAAACAATGGCTTTGCATTTGGAAGCATTGAGCTCCATGCCGCTCAAAACACACCACTCAGAGAGTCTGTCAAGGTCAGATTGCAGTCTGGCACAGTCTTCAATGGAAGAGACCCGAGTGAACACCTTAAAATCATCCGCAAAGCACAGAAACTCACTGCCAATGAAACAAGACTTGATATCGTTGATAAAAACGTTGAAACGCAGGGGTCCCAAGTGAGAACCCTGTGGAACGCCCGATGGGATGTCAATAGCGTGTGAGAAGAAGTTGTTGACTTTGATTATTTGAGTTCTCTCGCTAAGATGGTCTCTAATCCACTTCAACAAAGTACCGGAGATTCCAGCACTTTCAAGCTTAGCAAGCAGAACGGCATGGTTGAGTCGGTCAAAGGCCTTTGCGAAATCGGTATACATATATGGAGTGAACCGATCCGCCATCCTCAAGAATCCTTGAAACATTGTCCTGGTAGGACAGGAGATTGATTTCAGTTGAGCATTTTGGACGGCAACCGGCCTGCTGCTCAATTAGCCAGGGATTGATACTTGGAGTTAAAAACTTTGTCACTATATTCTCAAATACCTTTGGGAAGGAGTTTTGGATGCTAATGGGCTTGTATTTTCAAATATCGATTTTATCACCCGATTTATGAATGGGTATAATGAAGCTCTGCTTCCAGAGCTTAGGAAATTCACCTAAACTAAGTGATTTATTGATCAATAATCCTTGAAAATTTGAACAGCCTAGCATTAGCCCTTCAGATGATATGGAAGGGGGCTGTCTAAAGTTCAACACCCTGTATTTTGGAAACGACACACTTCCGACCATCGGTGTCCTATCGCAAACTACTTCTCTATGGCTCCTCTATATACTTACCCTAGCATTTTTGACCAGTTAAACGAGGAAACCCTGCATTTTTGTGATGCAGAAAGAAGATATGCACAAATTGAAAAAAAAAAAAACATTATCATTAACCAGGACAACTGAGAGGTTAGAACAATTTTTGTTTGGAAGAAGATTTACTATAAGGACTGATCACAAACCTTTGGTAAGATTACTTAAAGATAAGCCAATTGGCCAATTATTGGCCAATTATCAACTAAATTACAACGTTTCTGTATGCGTCTTATGAAGTATGATTATGATGTAGGGTATGTTCCTGGAAAAGAGTTTTACTATCCAGATGCATTATCAAGAAGTCCTTTAGATGAAGGTCAAAATGATAAAGATATTATATTAACATTAACAAACGACTCCACTATAGACTCAATATCAAATGAATTTAGCAAATGGTCAGAATTTAGTACGACAGATTTTCGATTACAACAAGAACAAGATGAAGATGGTGAAACCATTTGTTGTCAAGATTGTCCTGGAAAATGTCTGATTTATTACAAATTTAAAGAAGATTTTGCTGTAGTTGACGAAATTTTGACATATCAAGATCGAATTGTAATACCTAAAAATGTAAGAAAAAAATGTTTAAAAGAATTGCACTCTGGTCATTTTGGGTTGAGAAGATGTAAGGCGCGAACAAAGGAAACACTTTGGCGGCCTTCAATAAATAATCATATTGAACAAAAAGTTAATAGCTGTGAAAAATGCCTTAAACATAAAAATCCAGGAGTTGAACCGATGATCTATTTAAATATATCTGTTTTACCTTGGAGTATAGTCCCAGCACATTTATTAGAATACAAAGGAAACCAAAACTTGGTTATACAGGATTATAGTCGATGGCCAGAAATGTTTTTATTGAAAAACTTAAAATCAGAAACGGTTATTAAATGTTTGAAAGAGACCTTTGCAAGATATAGAACGCCAAAAATACTTAGATCAGATAATGGAAGACAATTTGATAGTTACGAATTGAAAATTTTACAAAAGAAAACTTTTAAATGGAAAAATAGAAATACTAAATTAGATTGTGGTGTGTCACCTGCTCAATTGATGATGGGTCGAAATTTAAGGGAAAATTTGCCTGTATTAGATAAAAAATATAATTCTAACATTGCCAAATCATAAAGAAACTGAAAAGGAACAACAGAAGAAAAATTATGATCAACGACATAGAGCAAAGTAGTTAGATGAATTAAATGAAGGCACAAGAGTTTTTATAATAACAGAAAACAAAGAAGGAAAAATTGTTAATAAACAAAAAGATGAACCAAGATCTTACATGGTGGAAACTGATACTGAGATATTAAGAAGAAATAGAAGACATTTACAACCACTACACGACAGATCATCAGAAAATGATACACGCTCCGCATTTGTGATTCTAATAGGAGAAGACATAGATGTTTTGGTAATTATTACTGCGTTAGCTTCTAATAATAGCCATCGGTTGTTTTTGATGAAGCCTGGAAAAGGAAGGTCAGAGACCATCTTCTATTCCTCGAGACACCTCAAAATGTTAAATAAAGTGAGAGAAAATATATTTTTCCTTCGCGCATTCAGCGGATGCAATTCAACGTCAGCCATTTTCAGGCAGGGAAGAAGAAGTTTGTAAAGCTGCTTGACAAAGATGCGGAGGTACAACGGACTGTCGAGATATTCAAAAAGCTTGACGCGACTGCAGATGGAATTGGTGCTGCTGCCGGTGAAAAAGTTATTGCGGCTTTGTATGACAGATCGCTTCTTCAATTTTCCACTTTTAATGAAACACGCTTTAAACAGTTCACGAAATCCTTGTTACAGAATAATTTCAACTTGGCTACTCTCCCTCTAACTGAATAAGCTGCTAGACTGTATGCAATGAGGGCTTTCCTACAAGGTAACATTGTGAAAATAAGTAAATGGAAAATATCGTCGCTGTTTGACTTTGCATATTTTGAAAAACGGTGAAAAGTCAGGAAATGTCCAGTTTTGGGACACCCCGTATAGAGCACAAGCAGAACATTTGTGCAAATTTAAAAAAAATCTTTTCACACGTAAACGAAAAGATTAAAACCATTTCCAGCTTTCTGAGAATTAATTCGGCTACACCTCCTTATTCGGCCTATAAACAAAGCAAAGACATCTCGATGTCCGAAGAATTTGGTAATTATGATAAAATTTGTGCAAAAATTTAAATTCTTACCGTTCCTCGTCTCAAAGCCAACTGAATATTTTCCAGATCTAAAACGGGCACCCAACACTCGGCAATCAAACATTTTTGAGTTACATCCAAGTTAAACAGATTAAGAGTGTGATAGATGGCTTTGATTTTTCGCACTTTAACAAACCAGTTTTTGATATTTTTGGCCGCAGCAACCAGAACTCTGTGTCTGTGATCTTGAGTTTGTCCCAAAACCTACAAGAGAACTTACCCGATAAGATAATTCCCAATCAATTGATAATCATTACGTACAGTGTTAAGATCTTCAATACGAGTCATCACTCCCATTGCCATTTCTCTACGATCGGCAGGTGCTTCGGGACAGGGATACAAAGTTGCTCTGAAACCTTCACAAATTTTCTTTACTCTGGTCTTGAGTTGGTCACCTTGGAAGAAAATGATGAAAACAGATTTATAGACTTGGTCACCCTAAATTGAAAAAAAAAACTTGTATATTTTGTGGCAGGGTAGGGGAAATCGTTTGTGTTACCGTTGAAGGGTCTTCTAATGGTGTTTCAATTTCAGCTTGACGCAAAAACACATTGCCCCTGCAAGCTCTCCATAACATCCTTTCAAACGCAGGGATCCTTTCTCGAAGAATCACTCCAGCAACAAAGCTATATTTACCAATTAGAAAATTGAACATGTTCTTTTGTATTGTAGAGCTTTACAATAAACATTAAAATTAAACATTTACCAGTAAAATAGACTTGGGTATTTTTGTATACTAATTAGCATAAAGAATTGCACACGTTTATTTTACTGATAAATTAATTCATTATACATTCAGCAACATCCAATTTAGTTACCAAAGACCATACACAAAATTGTTAGACATCATTTGTTTCTTACCAGCGCAATAATTATGTATTAAACATGAAAAAAATAAATAAAACACCTTGTTCTTAGAGCCAATCGGTTTGTTGAATTTTTAAGCGAAGCATTTTTCCAGCTAAAAACTACAAATTGCGCTAAAGCTAAATTTAGAGGTGGACTAAAATTTCAAAAATTATAATTTAAAAAATATTAAAAGTTTTTTACCATGGGTAGTATTCCTCTGGATCGTAATTCTTCTCCGGAAAACTGTTTTAGGTATAAAATGTATATTATTTTAATATTTTCGAATATTATCACAATTTTTTATTTTTTTTGGTGATATTGTATGAGCTTCAGTCACTTGACCATTTTCCGTTAAAGGTTGTTAGTTTCTAGATTTTTTTTTTGCATGCAACATCTCATTTATATAAGGATTTAAGTTTCATGACTTTCTCATAAAATATTTAAATTTTGTTTTTATTATGGTTAGAAAAAGTTCAAGTGACGTAATTAGTAAATGTCATGACTTTAGGTAATTGCAAAAATTGAAAATATGGGTATTAGCATAATGTATTCAGTTTAATAGCAATATTAAGTGAAGATGAAGTAGAGGACTAGCTTTTTGTAATGTTGTTAAAACGCTGATCAAATAGGTTTTTAAGTCTATTTGCTAGATTTTGCCAATCAATTGTTTATGTAATTACATTAACAGGAATCATCGTAATGTAAAGTCACTTTGTCTATAATATTTAATTAATTTATTTACATTAAACTTAAAATCGTTCGAAATTCAATTATGGATAAGTGGTTGTAAAAAAAAGACATAAAATTTAGATGACATATTCTAGTTGGAGTATTTAATTTTTTTTTCAGGTCCAAATATTATTACAGCATCGAAACAGCAAACCATGTATTCGATTTCAGGGGGTCGAGACTATATTTAGATTGAGACGAGAATAGGAGACAAACGGTCTAAAATTACATAGGTTAATTACTAAATATGCATTATTGTTTTTAAGTGGTACTAGCGTTAAATCAAAACAATTTTGCAATTAACAGTTTTTAATTGCGAAAGTGCTTTCGTAATACTAGAACTGTACGTGTTAGGATTATGACAACAACTTCACAAGAATTAAAAGTTATTGTTTTAATCAAAAGTCTTTTGGGTCAATGAAATTTTGCATGTTAGTTTTTTTACTTTCTAAATTTTATTTAATCCATCATAGAGGCGTTCATCATCATTTTATCATGACAGCTAGTTTAGACCTTTTATTGCCTTTCATTTCCACTGATGACGAACAAGAGTCACAAGAATAGGATTAGTTTAGGTATTAGTAGCCTAATCTTTAAAATAATCTTGTGTATGGACCAATTAGTCCAAACTCAAACAAGTATCGATGGTTAAGTTTAAATTTATGAGGTTTTGTTTACACATCGATAATTTCAAAAAGTTAATTACATACTTTTTGGGACGTTAAATATTTAATTTTCTAGGAGGGCTCCTAATTTACTAGAAATTATTCAATTTGGAAAAGTTTCTGTATTCACTAGACTCGGGCAATTCTTCATATAGCAATAAGTAATGCAGCCTCAGGTTAAAATAAACAACAAATTGTTACAAAATTATAGACCGTCAGATAGTGACAGATTTAGGTGCCCCATTTTTGCATACAAACCTCGAAGAGGGTTGAAAAGTACATCTATTTTGAGTAGGATGAAGATATTTTTACGAGTGGCTCCTGGGAATAACATATGGCAAATTCGATTTTACTTATGTTACCCTAAAATGTAATTTTCCATTTGCGACACTCAAGCCAATATGTTTTACGAAGCCAGGTTTAATTAATTAATTCTTTGGTGAACACGGCTTGTGAGAAAATATGGACACCAGGACTTCTTCCATTTCTGTTAGGGAAAATTGAATTTTCCATATGTTATCCCCAGGAGCCACTCGTAAAAATACCTTCATCCTGCTCAAAATCGATGTACTTTTCAACCCTCTTCGAGGCTTGTATGCGAAAATGGGGCACCTAAATATGTCACTATCTGACGGTCTATTACATTGGTGCAGAATGTAAATTCTGGTTTCAGCAAGAATCTGGAATCAATGCGGATTTTAAGAGAAATGTTCTCTGATGTTTGATATTGCAACGGCTGCCAGTGTGTCAAGAATCGCATAGCAGATTCGAGATTTTACGTGATGTTCGGGAACAACGTCGATCGCGGTTCTTCTGGAATTTACAGGAATAAATTACGGCTATATATAAGGACGGGTTTTAGCTTGTAAGTTAAGTTTCAGTTCGACTGTGATACGATTCAAATAGTGATTATTGTTGTAGAGTTTAATTGTTGAGTTAGTTATTAAAGTAATTAGTGTCAGAGTGTATTATTACGTGGAATAAATTATTGCTGTGTTAATTGGACTTTGATATTTGGAATAAACGAAACGAACCCAAGATTTCTGTCAGGCAATCCAAAGCCGTGACAATATCTTTCTGGCACCCAATATGTCGAGGTCTGCCAGCCTCGCAGGATGTTCAGAACTGACAGAAATGTGTTTTCTCACTGCCAAGGTTAATGTACATTTTCCAAGGAACCTTCAAACCCCTTAAAGAGACACTCCGCACATAAATTGTATATCCGATACAGGGTTGGGACAATGACAGACATCATTTTTAAACCCATATGATATATAACTTCGCAATTTTCACATGTAGATAGATTAGAATATGTTTTTTTTGAAGTTTTATTCCAATCCTGTATTTGTAGGAACAAGAAAAAGATGCTGCATTGTTTGTTACTATATGATGCAAATTAGTTAGTTAGTTACCAAACTGTTCCAAATACTTAATTTCTACTGATATTTTCATTAGAAACCCACAACAAGATTTCAGCAACTTAGTATCTGCTTTCTTCCATGGTGAAGGCAAGACTGAGTAAAGCTATATTTATTAATAAAATAGTGAATTTAAATGAGTTTTAAGAAGGAACGTGTTAAACAAAACCGTAATTCAAAGTCAAATAACATTTTCAAAGTAATTAAAATGTAATTATTAGATAACATCAGTGACGGATTTTCATTGATGAGACCTATTATACTTTAAACAAAACAATTGAAGGCTCACTAGCAACTGATAACAATATGAATAAATTGTCACACTAGTAGCACCAGTTAGTTCTATAGATAGATTAGCATAATGCAGAAGAAAAATAGTTAGATATGCCATTATGTGGTACGATCATGTATTTTGTGGACGTATGATATACGTACCCTAATTGTACGGAGCCGCTCTGCCTTGCAATAGAGTCTTCGTTTATGAGGGCCCTGGTCATAGATTCAGTGGGGTTAGTGCCCCCCTCGTGCTGCTCAACAACACAACACATTAGCAAACCCAATGTACGCCCGCCCCTCACCGCAACAATTATTATTACAAACGGGTTTAAACCAAAGACAAAATTCACATAGCATACATAAAACAACTACAATGAACATAATGTTGGATTTATTGAAAGCTTATTTCACTTAGACGAAAAAAGTAGGTTGGTGGATTTGAAAATTGGTCCGAAATTCTAAAATATTGGTCGAAGATTTCTACCAATTAAGTTGTAATAATTATTGTCTAACTTGCACCAAAGACAGAAAACTAGCCTAAGTGAGTTTGCATTTTGCAGATCTGCCTGGTTGCGTTCTCAATGGGTGAGACCAAGAGGCTTAAGCAGCACGTCATGTCACTTATTTCCACCTTCATATTATTTATTTTTAGCACCTCATCTGCTGTGTAAAGCTTGATGGAAGCAATTTCATGTTCATTCTCCAATGTTTTGTGGCTTTCCTGACCAAGCAGAATCGCGTTATTAACCAACAAATTTGAATGAGCTTCTATTCTGCTTTTTTTAAATAAAATATCAAATGTAGTTTCAAAAGTAGCGCAAAATGCGAGTCTTTTTTAACTTTGATGTTGTTTTGGTGTCAATTTTAATTTTAGGCTCTGTCTAAAATATCAATAATTATTTTATACATTAAAAAAAGAATCAAACAAAAATAAATAGAAGCATCGTTTTTTTTTTAAAATGATTATTCAAATGAAAAATATGGATTTAGATTTGGGTAAGAAAGTTATCCCAACCTTTTCTCGCAAATTAGTGACAAATTGTTAATTCTTATATATCCCGAGTTAGACATTAAACCCACTCATAAATCCTCGTAGTTTAATCAACATTGACACATTTCTCACAAAGCCCCACTGAAAACAGACTAATCCATTATGCCTACTGATAATGCTGCAGATTAAAGTCATTAAAAATAGTTATGACTGGTTTTCACTGATATACCGTGTATGAACATTATATGGAAAATAAGTGGGTGGTGAATTTTGCCTTTAGTTCAATAGACTTTGGTTTTATGTTTCTGACTGCATTAACAGCATCCAGTTCTATTTGCACATACATATTTTTAAACATTTATAATCATTATCATATAAAAAGCTAGGGAAACATAATATATCTGCAAATGACAACGAAAAATTGCTGCAAACCATCATCAAAAAGCACATAAAATTTAAGTACAACACCTAGCATGAACTTCACTATAAAATAATAGAAAAATTATTAAATGACTAAAACTAAACTATATCAAGAGAATAATTTCAGCATTATGACATGCAACATGCAGGCAAGTAATATTCAAAAAAGAGCCATTATACCATCATGAATTAAAAATGTAACACAAATGACTGATGAATTCGGAGTCAATAAAAATATTCTTCACTTATATTAATTTCTATTTTTCGATATCGCAAGGGTTTACTGAATGAATTCTGGAGATTCTAAAGTAACGAAACATTGCACTATTTCAAAAATTACAAATACATAATGATAAGTGGAAGGTGGAGTGAGAAATATTTTTCCTGAGCTAAATGAATCCAAATATTAACATAAATATTTTTCCTGGAAACTAACCTCCAGTGGGTATAATAGGTGTAATTAAATATTTATGTTGTAAAAACATAAATTAACTTAAAAACACTTTACTTTCAAGACAATCGTTTCATGTAACATTTCAGTGAACTATAATTTAAATATATTCAGGAATTCATTCCAATTGTGTAATTTGAGCTAAATAGTGAAATAATCGGCCACTAGATAGCTAGCAGATTAGTTTAAGTTAGCTTATTAGGAAGATAATTACCGAGATATTTACCTAATAGATTAACTTGAACTAATTATTGGGAATAAATGAGCTTTTGTTATTCAATATTTTTTTAGTAAAGAAAGTTTTGGTGCACTGGCGGAATCCGTGACATTACCTGTGTGCCTTCTTTAATCTTTCGAGAGAATTTTTTTTTCTCCTTTGGATAAAATACATTTTCAAATATTCCGGATTTTTATGCAAGAAATACTGAACATTTCAAATTACATATTAAACAAAATTCAGGTATTAGAACATCAATTACAAATTTATTCAAGCTGTTAGTGCTATTTTTGGATAGTTAAAACATGCATTCCGTGTCTACACTATAAAAACATTCAGACATAATTATACACAGTTTTTCTAAATAATTTCCAATAATTACAAACTGAGAGGCTCATAGAATAAATATATTGTTTTTTTAGTTTTTGAAAGCCCACATTACAACTGAAAAATTATACTAAAAATGCTACTTGATTAGGTTGGAAAGAGTAAATATTCCAATTGAGTGGACAGCTACGCTACAAATTAATCTATTCGAGAATCTAATTTATAAACTGATTAAAAATTAGAATCTTCATAATGCAAATATGAGAGAAAAGTCTGACTGGCAGAACCATTTTTTTTTCTTATAGCAATGCTTGATTCCAAGCGAAAACTATAAAGTGCCTTCGTGAATCTGAAAGAGACACTGTAGAGAAAAGCCACCAGAAGATTCTAGAATAGTATGTAGCTAACAAATGTGTTAGGTACATACAAGACTTTACCGCATACTGTGCGGTAAAGTGCAATTTTCCGCACGCTCGTGGGTAATTTTTTATATTTTCCCACCCCCTCAACTTTTTTGTGCCATTGTGTATAAAAAAAATGTAAATAGCGAAGGTGTGAAAAATAGTTCGCAGAAAACATAGTTGCAACTTTTTGAGAGGTTGTAAAACCTAAACGGTTAATTTTACATCAAAACCGATTTCACATTCTTGTCTGCAGCTTTTCATAAGGTAGCATTTGACACCAAATTTGAATTTCACCGGAGATTAAATTTAACCGGAATTATTGATCATGGATTAAATTCAAAGTTGGTGTCAAATGATATTTTATGGAAAACTAGCAAAAGCTTTTTTTAGAAATACTATATGCATTGCCATTTATAGTATTTTTAATACCCATTTAGAATAACCCCATCCTTATTTATCAATCACGAATCAGATGAAACAAAAAATTACCAGGAAAAACGAACGTCGATTGCTAATACGTCAATTTCATGTACAATTTGTACAAATAGGAAATTCCTAACCTAATTTTATTTGTGTGTTCAGGAAGCGACCGAGGTAAGAAGGTACCCCCTTATGATTTTTTTGGAAAACTTTGAAAGGTCATAACTTTTTTACTATTATAGATAGAAAGCTGAAACTTTCACTGAATTTTAACCCTTTCAAAGGACTACAATCCCTGAAAATTGCAGCTCATTTGCACTTATAGTTAAGCAATTTGGGGTGGTTTATCAATTTTTCAATTTTTCTGAGTGCCTTTTTTCATAGATTTCGGCTTCAAATCTGAGAAAAATTTAGTGTATGGAGTTTGGGGTATGTTGATTCACCATTAGGATACAAAATCTCGACAAAAAAAAATTTGAAATTTCATCTTTTCAGTAAGAAGGTACCCCCCTTATGATTTTTTTTGGAAAACTTTGAAAGGTCATAACTGTTTTTCTATTATAAATAGAAAGCTGAAACTTCCACTGAATTTCATCCCTTTCAAAGGACTACAATCCCTGAAAACTGTAGCTCATTTGCACTTATAGTTCCTGAGATAAAATCGTGTTAAGCAATTTGGGGTGATTTATCAATTTTTCAATTTTTCTGAGTGCCTTTTTTCATAGATTTTGGCTTCAAATCTGAGAATAATTTAGTGTATGGAGTTTGGGGTATGTTGATTCACCATTAGGATACAAAATCTCGACAAAAAAAATTTTTAAATTTCATCGTTTCAGTAAGAAGGTACCCCCCTTATGATTTTTTTTGGAAAACTTTGAAAGGTCATAACTGTTTTTCTATTATAAATAGAAAGCTGAAACTTCCACTGAATTTTATCCCTTTCAAAGGACTACAATCCCTGAAAACTGTAGCTCATTTGCACTTATAGTTCCTGAGATAAAATCGTGTTAAGCAATTTGGGGTGATTTCAATTTTTCAATTTTTCTGAGTGCCTTTTTTCATAGATTTTGGCTTCAAATCTGAGAATAATTGAGTGTATGGAGTTTGGGGTATGTTGATTCACCATTAGGATACAAAATCTCGACAAAAAAAAAATTGAAATTTCATCGTTTTAGTAAGAAGCGAGGAAGCGACATACGTTAAGTCACTAGAACGACTGGAACTAAATAGGTATTGAAAATTCTATATGTTTGCAATGGCAAATTGATGTTTTTCAACAATGAATTTACCTGTAGACGTAAGTTAGTTTTCTACAAGGAAATTATTATAAATTGTCATTAAATGAAAAGTGGCAGAAATGTTGGTTTGAGCTTTTGTATTTGGTTCAATAGAAGTAAAAGCTTCAAGAAATAGTTCCGGTTTATTTAAAATCTCAAAAGCATGTATGATCGGTTTTGCTGTAAAATCAACCGTTTAGGTTTTACAGTCTCTCAAAAATGCAAAAAAGTCAATTTTCAACTGTCAATATTTCCGAAATAGTTGAAGATAAGTATAGGACATTGTATATGAAATATGTTTAGAATTTTCCGCAGAGTCCAGAAATGTCATAATAGACAGGGTGTCTATTATTAATAATTTTTTTTTTGTTTTTTAAACTTTCTGCAACATGAATGCAGTATGCACAAAGCTATGTATTATTTTTCAAGCACTATACCTTTCCTATTTAATTTTTTTTTTACACAATGGCACAAAAAAGTTGAGGGGGTGGGAAAATGTAAAAAATGACTGTATGTAAAAACATGAATAGTTATTTGTTTTACTAGGAAGAAAAGTACAAGATTTAATGCCGCGGCTGGTGTTTCATAGCCGAGGCATAGCTGAGGCTAGGAACCAGCCGAGGCATTAAATCTGCTTTTCTGCCATGTAAAACATATAATTTTTTCTCCGAATGTTCAAATTCACATATGGACAACTTTTTCACATTTATTTCATCCATTATTATTATCCAAATAATTAAATTA